GAATCCTGTATGCGTGTTTCGGAGACACAGCACACGTCAATGGTAAGAGACTCTAGGGTTTTAGCCAAGGAAGCCTGCTGACCGATTTGACATAGGGTTCGTACGTTGAAGGCTCCAATGTGTAGTTTGGAGCGAGGTTTCAGTAGACCTGGGACAGTATTTTGCGCACTAGAATCGTTGGCTATGGTGACACTTGAGGTGGAAGCCGAGAGAGGAAATTTAAAGTTGAAAGTCGATGTAGGAGGAATAATAGGAATTGAAGAGGAAGGTTGATTATGAATACAGTGGTCTTGAGTGCTGTTAGAGGTATGAGGGCGGTTATCACTTCCCGGTTGCCCACACCGTGGAAGGGTTGTTCTGGAGGTACCTGAAAAGGAATTTGGATTAAAGGTGGTCTTAGTGACCTGAGAGCGTGACCGCAGTGCCCAAGGGACAACTGCTTGAGGTCGGTCACACACGACCTTGTTATGGGTAATTTTTGTGTTAGCTCCGTACTTATTGGGACCTTACCGCCGGAGACGGATATCCGTGGGATAAGGCGAGGTGTGCATTTTTAGGGTCGACCTTTTCTAACCCCACCCCTCCTTGTGGGAAGGCAGCATCGCTGTCATGCTGGTTGTCTGAAGGAAACACCTTACTGCTGTCACACCTCTGTACAGTCAGCAGTACGACTTCGCCTTCGGACCTTGGGTTTGTTGCTTTTAGTCTTACCGCTCTTCAACCGACCTGTCTGACATGGTAGGACCTTGAGGAACGGTTGTTCCAGCCAGTATAGCTCGGTTGCTTCATCACGATAGGCAAGCCCGACCACCACGTCAAGGTAGCAACAACGGTCGGGATATATATATATATATATATATATATATATATATATATATATATATATATAGGGATATCCACTTAATATTTGATAACTTTCCACCAAATTCTAATCGAATTTAACATAAACAATCATGTAACTTTTAACAGAATAAAATTTCCTAAAGATTATATCTTCCCAGTCGGCATTCGCGAATCGTTTGTAGACCGAAAGTGTTATCAGTATAGTGTTCTGATCTTGTTCAGTTAAATAACCATGACGGAAGTTTCATGACTCACCAGTCAGTCAACTGTTTATCTTGTCAAATACTTCACTATTCATAATTTTTAGTGAATGGTTACTATTCTCAATCTTTACGAAATTGAGATTAAAGTAAACATGTTACCGATTACGAGCGGATTCACAATCTCTTTGGCCCCTTATTTGTAGGACTTATTGTGGTTGAGGAGCCTTCAAAAAGTATATATATCGGGTTATCTATTTAATACTATTTAAACTTGAATTAATTTTTATTTGGTCATTTATTTGTTCTCTGAAGAAGTGGCTTACACGAAGTCACGAAACGTCAGAAGATCTAATTTTCCTATTCATCGGGATATTACAAATATATTATTTATAACAATCTACCCAATGCTCAATTGATTCGAAATTATCAAATCAGACTTTGGTAATGATGCCTACAAACTGAAATTACTGTTCTTGTTCCAAATAGAATTCAAACAACTCATTTTCATTTGATAAAATTCATCTTGATTTTTATTTTTTCGTATGTTACGTCATTTCACTCTCCTTTACTCCCACTTTATGTATCCTTATTTTCCGACTAACGCAGCAGTTCGCCTATAGCGGAAACCCTGTTCTCTCTATACGATCTCGAGTCACTAACTGGTCAAAAGTTTGACGCTACCACCGAATACGAATACTGAAACAGCCTTTCTGAAGCCACGTATACCATTCAAAATGACTTCCTTTCACGTTCGCACACTAATGCAGATCGGACAATAGATAGGGTTGGCTGTGTGTTTAAAAAGTCTTAATATCAATGTCTGTTGTCTATCCAAGACCTGTATTCAAGACCAGTGATGTACTACAAATTTGCTTTCCGTCTGTCGCTTCGTATAGCTTGTTTTACGTGAGTTTATCCGGGGCCCCTGTGGCATCGTCGTCTGGTTTTTCTGACATTATCGCACAAAGCGCTAGAGCTGAGGCAGCACTGATCAACTGGGTCACCATTAACAGTCGGTTATACGCTGTTAGATTAGAAAGTCCCATTCAAGTGAGAGGAAATCGGTGTGAGAAGCGATGTCTTTTCGTTCTCTCCGCATATGCTCCGACAGATTATTGCTCGGATTCGATTAAGGATAAATTTTACCACCATTTAACTATTCTACAGAAAATGCATTCGGCAGGTATTGTAGTTCTAGCTGGAGAGTTGAATGCTCAGGTCGGACGTCTAGGAACAGACGAGAGTCATTTAGGTAGCCGATAGGAACTTGGTCGCAGGTCAGATAACGGGGACCGTCTACTGCAGCTGTGCGCAGACCACAATCTGTTTCTCGCTAGCACTAACCACCGGTAAAATCATCGCCAATGTGCAACCTGACGCCCTCCCTCTGCATCCCAAGCCTGGACTCAGATTACTTACATCACGATCAGCTACCACTGGCGTGGTTGTGTATAAGACTGTCACTCCTTTTGGAGTACCTATCTAGACTCTGATCATGCTCTTGTTTGCTCTAATATTACCCTACTTTTCGATGGCCAACAGATTCATCGACCTAAACGGATCGATGTCAGTAACTTGATTGCAGCTTCTGTTGCAACTAAATACCAAATCGACCTAGGTTCAAGGCTAGCTAACATCCTATCGAAAAGTATAGATGAGCATTGATTGCAATCGCATGACGCCATCAAAATGGCGAGTAAAGTCGCTTACGGCTTCGCGGAACGTCCCGCTTATAAGCACCAGGTTTCTTCAAGGTTCCTTACAACTCATTGAAGCCCGTCGGTGTACTCCGGGTGACCGTGAGTTTGACCACAAACGAAAAGTGTTACGTAATGGAATTGGGCAAAGTTTGCATAAGGACCAAGAAGCCTGGTGGTCGAAGCGTGCCAATGAGTTTGAAGCAGCAGTTGCATCTGGTAACTGCCAGAAGCTCTTCCAACTCATCCGATCCATTGGCAGCAAAACGTCTGGTGTGGGCGAGACAATCTGTGAAGCTGACGGGATCTTAATCACTAACATCTATCGGCGTCCTGGACAATGGGCAGAGTTTTTTCAGGGGAAGTTCGACTGGTCTGCTGCCCCGGCAATATCGATCGGGCTTTCCTGCCCTCCATAGCCTGTGACGACTGATCCACTGAATGAGACGGAGGTCCGCGAGCAACTCCAAATCTTGAAGCGCTACAAATTACCGGGTCCAGATGACTTACCTCTGACCCTTTTTAAAGATGGTGGCGGCCTTCTGGTTAAGGAAATGACTGCGTTGTTTACAAAGGTTTGGGAGTTAGACAGTATTCGAACATCATGGAACGAATCGATAATTGTCCCTATCTTTAGAAAAGGTTCACGTAGTTTCTGTAACAACTATTGGGGGATAAGTCTACTTCCGATCGCGTCCAAACTATTTGCTTCCGCAATACTTCGTTGATTGTTCCGAGATCCGAGAGCTTGACTCGCGAGGAGCAGACTCGTTTTCGTTCTGGTCGACGATGTATTTCTACAAGATTGACAGGACCCTGATCCTGCACTCACCCTGGGTAGTGATAAGATAGAAGTAGTCGAGTTCGTGTATCTGTGTAGCTTCATACGTGCTGGTGATGGCATGAGTGATGAGGTCAATCCAGGTATAATGAAAGCCAGAGCGGTTTATGCCAATCTGGGCCACCTTGGGCGCCTTCGTGATGTTAGTCTGGCTGTAAAAGATCGGATCTACAACGCGTCGGTGAGAGCAGTTTTGCTCTATGCTTGTGAAACCTGGCCTCTCCGAGTTGTGGACGTTAGACGACTCTCTGTGTTCGATCGTCGTTGTCTCCGAAGGATTGCTGACATCCAGTGGCAACACCATGTTAGTAATGCAGAGGTCCGGCATCGTGTGTTCGGGCACAGAGATGATAATGCAATTGGTGTCACCATCTTGAAACACTGACTTCGGTGGCTTGGACATGTTCTACGAACATCGTCCCAGAGAATTCCACGTCGTGCATTATTTGCCGACTCTGGGACTGGTTGGAAAAAGCGGAGAGGTGATCAGTGTATGATATGGTATTGTGATTTGAAAGAAAGCAGTATAGGACTGGCTTCTGTTGGACCTTCACGACTCCCTAGCTGGGGTCCTAGAGATAGTGCGATACAGTGGCTGGAGACGTCAGATATGACTCAGATTAGATGTCAGTGCCGATCCTGCTATAACTTTCTTTTACCTTCTTTATAAAAAATGGATGTAACTTTAAGTGAAAGAATTTCTGGTTGTACCTTTGCTTCCTGGACTTCTTCTCCTATTATTATTATTACTATTATTATTATTATTATTATTATTATTATTATTATTATTATTTCAGTACCGCACGCCAATTTCTGTCCATTGTTGTTCCCCTTCTCATACGCACCTTACTTTATTTATCTCTTCACATTCTCGTTGTTACTGTGAAGTGCATATGTTTCCGGTGCCACTTTGTACCAATATTTGTGTTCATACAAGTAAATAAATGCATTGTTTCATACTATGCAAATTTTCAAACCAATTTATTGTTTCTACTGAACACTAGCCAGAGACTTAACAGTTCGTAATATCTTACATTATTAGTTGTTACTTTTGTGACCAATGAGGTCTAGTTTAAGAGGACTACAAGTAGTTAGCCATTGAATGTTCTGGAGTGTTTTTCTTCTGCGGATTGATACTCTTATACTATTTTAGTAACAAATATATATATATATATATATATATATATATATATATATATATACGGTTATTTTTGTGTATGCGATTATTCGCACTTGTAATTCGTTATTGTAATCAAGCTTGAACATATTTGTTTTGTTATAATCTGGATAACCGATTCATTGATGTTGATAACGAAAATATCACAAATCGAAACTCCGTGGTTGAATGATCGATCACAAATGAGTTATACCTAGTTATTTTATTTCAGTTTCAATTTTTGTATTTTATTACTTCAGGCTTTTCATCCCAAATTATCAGTACAATCACAACCGGATCCAGTTGATGTTACTAAGTTGTTTGCTGAATTAGCAAGTGCTCATAAAAATTTACGCCATATCAGTGTATCTGATATACTCTGATAATGAGGATTCTAGTGAATATACCTTAAAAATGTATAAAAGTCAGTTTGTCCAAGTGTGATAGTTACAGTAAGTAGTGTTAATTGTTAATATTAAACGATATTGTTTTACTGATTTCATGCTATCTTAATTCTTACGGCTTTTGTATTTAAAGACTTTTTACGTATCGAAATTTTAGGAAGACTAGTAGAGGTTTGTAGCTCATTATTTTGATTATCAAGAGAAATACACAGACAAAGACAAAAGTTAGCAACAACCACTCAGAACCAATGTAAACATATTAAGCTGTTAATCATATGAGGGAAAATTCAAATCGCTGACTTCAGTCTGAAGTTTGTGCTGAAAAGAAAGTGAAAGCTTCACTACTAAACCACTCAACTCCGATAACTCAGTAGTATAAAAGTCATCTAGAGTCCTTAGCTCTTTGTTCTGCTAATTTCCTCTCACTATAATGTTATGATTTGTGGCAAAATGAGCTGATGTACTTTTATCCAGCGTCCTACATTATAAATGAATGACTTGCTACGGATGTAATGCGTGGAACCGTATATTCTTTAGCATAGTGCTTTGTGGTAATGTACGTACAGTAGCAGTAAGTTCTTACATGTGTTAGTAAACTTACATAGCATTTAATCACTTATATATCTCATCACTTGCTGTGGTTATATTCATGTATATTTGACGTTATTTTCACAGGTCACACATCATTTGACTTCGCAACCTACAAACTGTGCCTTATTTCAGGGGGAAAAAGTTTCGTCTTATGACTGATCTTCTGTTGTGTTTTCATATTTACTCGAAAATAACCATACATTTCACTTCATTATATCATGCATTTACATTATTGCTTGTTTATCCTTTTAATTATATACAGATACTTCTTGTTCTGCTTTTTTTTGCTTCCTTTCAATTTATCATTAAAATAGAAGAGAAAGGAAAGCAAGAGTTTTAAATTATTCCACTTTTATTGATTTCAAGTAATCTATAATTAGTTTGTTTTTGTGTTTCGAAAACATTCACAAAATTATTAACAACTAATATATATCTTGTGTGGTGGATGTGCATACATTCTCCATGTTTTCTCATTTCGTCTTACAGATGAATTTCTAAATGCCTGTCTACTCCTCATTCTTTGTGCTAGTAGATATAGATAGACACACAAAAAAGGGTTGTATACGTCAGTATGTCAAGAAAAATAGGAATGGTTAAATACAACAATATGGTTTTCTATGCGATGTTTCATGTAATTTAATGAATGATTCTTCATCACGAATTGATTTTATTTGTTGAGAGTAACTGAAAATCAAGGAACATCAGAAAACTGTTCTGTCATAGCTTGGAACTTCTAACCAGTGAACATTCATGATTATCCGCATATGTTTCGATTCGACACCGTATTTGTTAGCGAGAACAATACACTACCGAATTCGAAAGTCAATAAATAAATAAATCATAAGAAAACAAACTATTCAATTTAATTCAACTTGATGATTGTTCTTTATGTGTATAACTTTTAGCACAGGTTCGAAATGCTCGTTTAGCTTTTGCCAACTTAAGCGACCTATGACGAAGGTGAAATATCCGTCTACCAATTAGGGGACGAGTATACTGCGCATCAGTTCGTTCTATTTTGCTTTACGGCTGTGAAACATGACCATTAAGAGTAGATATTCGTAAGCTACTAGAATTTGACCACGGATGCCTTAGAAATATTGCTCGCATCTGCTGGGATCACCGGGTAAGTAATAGTGAGGTTAGACGCAGGGTTTTAGGGAATGAAGATGGTAAATCAGTTGATGAGGTTGTGAATCTTCATCGACTGAGGTGGTTGGGCCACGTGTTACGTATGCCTGAACACCGTTTATCACGACACGCAATGCTGAATAGTGTTGGGTATGGTTAAAAGAAAGATTAAAATCGCCTTATATCTTTCTTTCTTCTTGTACTATATCCTTATATGCAATGTTTCTTTTATACATTATTACCAGCGAAGTAACTACTGCTATGAATCCAGTGTTCATCTTGTTGTGCTAATGAGGTATGGCAACTTGGACCGATGCATATATGCGCCTAATCGTACGTTGTAGCTGACTGACTGAGAACTTTTAATATAGTATAGAAATGAGTGGCTACAGTCACCAAGTTGTTATATATATATTTAAACGTTTGCTACGCTAACAACAACATGTTGTTCACTTTTAATTACTGATTGTTTTAAGTTTGATATCCTATATTATTTTGAATTTGTCAAATATATTGTTATTATTTAATGAATACTATTTTCATATCAGAGTGGTTTTGTGGATATTATAGTAATTTCAATGGTTGAGATCATGAGTCAATTGAAGCTAGAACTCCGCCCCACGGCCATCCAGTGCTTCCAGTTTTTCCATGGTGGTCAATCGACTCATGATCTCAACCATTGAAAATACTATTTTGTTTAATAATAATAATTTTTGAAGATTTTCTTATCGTTAAATTTTCAAGATTCCAAGTGAATCTTGTTAGTTTATAGACTATTATTGAATTAAAAGTATCATCTAAATGAAAGATTTTTAGATAATAAACCATTTTATATACGTTAGATAATTTTATTTATTTGAACACTCAACTTTTCTGAAAAGTAACAGAAATTAACTAAAAAATAATCTCATTTTAATAGAAGTCATGAACTGATCAATGTTAAAAAAATTGAAAGCATTGGACGGTAGTCTGACATTGATCAATTCATTATTTCAATCAAACTCAACAATCTTCACAACCCTATACTGATAATCTGATTTTATTTAGAGCGTGTTTTCAGTATTACCAAATGGTTAAAAGAAATTTTGTTTTAAATCAACCAGTATTATTTCAAAATGCTCAATAATTCTATAGTTATTTAACGGCTATTATCCACCAATTATCACATTGTATACAAGACATTCGCTTTAAACTTCATTTATATTAGATATAACCGTAGTGTTTTTTTTAAGTTCCGAAATTAAACATTATAATAAGCAGATTACCTGAAAAGAAATATTTCTTCACCTTCTCAATAATAATTGTCTGAATGGGTATTTTTATTCTCTTAATGTTACCTAAACGACAAAGTTATATTTCTGATTTCATGATCGAGAAATCTATTAGTATTCGCCAACATTATATAATACTACTTAAAAGATAAATTTGAAGTGAATTCTTCCTCTCAATCATTCGTATTCTGTTAATCAGAATATTGAACTAGAACTTACACTCTATATTTAATAAATAAAACTTCCAGTTTTCGTTTAATTCTATAATTTCAAGGCGATTTTCATCTTTGTACAATGTTTGAAGTATCAACAACTTCTACTATAGAGAGCGATTGCATCAGAGATGCATTTCGTCTCTCTCTCTTGCTTTAGATCTTGAGTGTTAAAATCACCTTGTACTTTCTATCCTGCTAATCTGTTATTTTTGGGTCATAGTCTTTTTTGTTCTGGCATTTATCTTGATAATTTCATCTCACTGTACTAATGTGGTGTGACGAATTGAACCAATCCATGTTTGCACCAGGTTCTATGTAGTTTACTGCATTAAGGATCAGAAAAATATGACATGGTCAGTGCTCAGTAATTGATAGATGTAAATCTCATACTTGTTCTGAAATTTTATTTACATTGCCATTGGTAAAATAAAGAGTTGCTGGTTCATGTAATGAACCTGTATTTCTTAATCTACCTCAAAACAACGAATACTTGACAGTCGTTTAGGTTAATCCGGTAAATGGATTACTTGTCGTTCCATTTTCTCGAAAAAAAGTAAACCGTTGTAAGCCTACTGAAATAGTATAAGTATAATACACTACATACGCATGAATAATCGCTAAACAGTGATTAATACCAACCAAAGAATGAGTTCAGCAGCTCATTCCGCTATGCTTTATGGCTGTAAAACGTAGGTTACCGGTAGTTGACCATAAACACCTTCGAACCATTGCTCGTGTATGTCCGGACCGACGAGTAGGTAGTGCTGAAGTCAGTTTAAGGTATAAGGTAAGGATGGCAAATCAGTTGATAAGGTATTGAATCTTTACTAAGTTAGGTGGTTGGAGCATGTATTACACCCTCCTACATCAATGGACGATGATTACCTATGTAAGAGTAGGTTGAAATATAGCTAGGACTGGCCAAATCAAACATCGTTTCAATTCGTGTAGTCATTGACTGTCGAACTGAACCTTGTGAGTAGCTGCAGATTACCTGGTTTAGAGTCCGCGCATTTATAGTAATCAATGGTTGGCAACGTTGGGTGATATGAACCAGAATCGTTTGCAATGGAATAAATGCATTCACTCTGTTTATCTTCAGATCCTAAGTTTCTTAATTGTCTTAAGAAAGTTTTCTATTCTACGAACACATACCCTCTCAAATCATATCTTCCATGCATAATATTACTTACTATCACATCTCCCTGTGATAGTAAAATGTAACACGCGAAACCGATGTGCATGTATCCCAAGTTCTCTGTTGTATGTAACTAATTTATTCAAAATGTTGTGCAACCATTTTGACTTTTACTTGCAATTTAACAAGGAAATATTCATGTTTTTCAAATGTTCAATATACACAAAACGACATTATTAATAATCAACGTTTTTTGAAATATAAAGAATTTAAATATTCGAGTAAACCTTTTTTTAGCAAATAAACAAATAAAGTTTAAAAAAATGATTGTCCCGATTGTAATAAGAAAAAACGTAAGAAATCTCTATTAGATTCTAAGAAAATGGAATGAGATTTTATCATGAACTGAGATCTCAGATCGACGATTACAGAGATTCATTTGTAAATATACACTAAAATTAGTTAATCATAATAACGACATATACATAAGTGAGAATTATAATTGTCACTATTATGTTTTTCTCATTCGAGATATAGACAATTGGTCGAATTCATCAAGAATTGCTTGTTCTAATTCATTATGATCACATTTAGCTGGTTTTGTGTTAGTTGATAAAGATTTGGACTTGATTCGAGTAAATGAAAGTAAAAAAAGAAAACAATAACTAATCATTTATGGCTTGTTTTTTAATGCACAAGTAATATAATTCATTCCCATATTAAAACTCTTTCACGGTTAAACGCTGTTAATAACTTTATGGTTTAGGATTATGTCTGAGATGATAACAAACAGTTGAGTCGGCCTTCCGAGAACTCCAACGAAGCCTCGAGAGGCCCTAAAGGAGCCGAAGAGTCCTAGCCAATCAGAGCACGATGGAGCTTTCTAGAATATCAACGTGGCGTGCTACTATTGGTCAGTAGCATAATTTCTTTTAACGGATTGGCCAAAATATGGTGTTGATTTAACAAATGTTAACATTTATAAATACCCGTGTTTTTCTGTACAAAGTGTTTCTCGTTTATTTCGCGCCATTTCTCTCGAGTTCTGGTCGCTGAGTAGTTCTATCCTGCGGGTTACCAGAATAGCTTAGGAACCGAATAAAGCGTTTAAATTAACAAGACTTATCACAAACAAAATAAGAAATAATTATAACGCGAACAAGCAATGGATAAAGACTACTGTCCCCTACGTCATGTTGAGTCATAGAAAAGAACGTTTTTTTGACTTATACCTTTGTAAAAGTAACTACATCTTTTAGTATATACTTTCAGTTAACATGTAGTTGTATGAACGAAGAAAAAAAGGAAATAGGCCAACCTCTACAGTAGTGTAGGATTACCGGTTTTCAGTCCATGAATAATTGTTTTTTATAGTTGGAGACCTTAGAGAATGGATCTCAAAATTTGTTCCAGTCAATCGAAAGTACTTATTCTTGTTTCCTTTGAAATTTTAAGCGTGGCATGATCCTATATAGTTCATTTCCAGGTAACAAGCATTTAACTTGTATGATATATTATTACCATTATTGATAATACAAATTTCTCATATTTTTTCTTAGCTTCTAGTTACTTGATTTCTACTGTGATGATTCAAAGTATAACAAATTGAATTCACACGAAATTGTGCTGGATTTCACGTGTTCATCTCATAAACTTATTTCTTATCACTATAAATATATTTAGCATACTAGTCGTTTACAAACCGAAAAGAGGCTTATGACTATATGACATTAAATTACAATCAAGGATTAGTATAAATATATTAATTAAATCATACATAAACTCTTGCAAATTAAATAGGGATTTTCTGATGAATTATGGTAAAATATAGATTGTTCTGAATAGACTATTATTTAATAATGTTCCCTAGTTTAAGCATTATCACCAGTCAATAAAATATATGTTATCTTTGAAACACCATTATTAAACGTTTTCCTATCCAACTAAAAACGCTTAAACATTAACACAACTATGAAGTTACAGATATTTTAAAATTGAATGATTTAAAAGTACACTTACAAATGAATCATCTGAAAACGGATCAAGTGTATTGGATGATTGGAATGGGGAACCAGTTAAATTAATAAGATCTCTAAAATATGTTTACAAAGAATGAGAAATGTGAAGGATTAATGGAAATATACAACTTTTAATTTACATCAGGAAACAATCAAAATCACTAACGGTTACAAAACCTGTTCGCCATTCTGGAGATACTTTGACACTAATTTAAATAAGCTGAAATTCAAACAGAGTAATATAATACAACAACGGAGTACCCAAACTTATGCATAGCTAGTTATTATTCAGATTCAAGTAGAGATAGGATTTGAAGTGCTTCATATAACAACTAAAAGCCAAATGTTTAAACCAATAGACCATGAATGTGAAACACTTAGTTACGGCAAACAATTTCGACAAACTA